CATAGCTTGGTCTCCGGTAAAGATTTAACGTCTTCATTTATCGCATCTTCTGAATTGCCAGAGGCAGTCACTTCGTGGCTAGAGGTATGCAATGACTGGATAGAGGGGGCGATTATAGTACTTACCTCTGCTTCAGACAAGGTTTTCTTGGTTTCTGTAGTCACATAATTTTGATCGTGACCATTTTCCTTATTTTTGGTCACGATTGATGCTATACGATTTATAATATTTAAAATTTGGGTATCGGTTAATTCTGATATACTTCTTGTTCCGTATGAAATTCCGTAAACTTTATCAATACCTATACCTTTAACTTCTTTTTTGGTTGTGGGATCAATAATCTTTTCAAATAATTTATAAACGCTTCCAGCTCTTTGCGTTTTCTTGCGTAGATTTGCTTCTGAAACTTTAGGTAAGGAAGCTTTGATTATAGCATAAACTTGACTCTTTGCGGTTTTCTCACTGACACCAGTTTTAGTTCGAATTTCAGCAACAGTGTTTTGGTACGATTTTCTATAAGTACACCAACATATGATTTCTTTCTGCTTAGCCTTTATTGTTTTTCCTTCTGCAATTTCAGCATCGGAAAATAATCGAGCTAGCTCACGTCCATTTTTATCTTCACTCACTTCTATATCGCTATCTTGAGTTTTAGGAGTATTGGTTAATGAGGTAAGTATTTTTTCTTTTTGAATAAATAGGATTACTTCTTGAATTATACCCTGCTCTATTTTCTGATTGTATGGTATTTTTACTTCAGAAGAATGAAACTCTGCTTTTCGTACCTGAACAATAGGAGGAGATTCCTGATTCGAAATATACGTGTCTTTTCTAGTTTGGTCTTGATTAATAGAAGATAAGTCTTGATCCCGAAGTTTCTTTTCTTTAATGGCCTGAATAATCTCCTCACCTTCCAATGATTTACGAGTCTTCGACTTCTGACATACGCCAGAATTTGAATCGGTATCAGATGCGTTTTTTGACATTTGTTTAGATGTATCATCTTGCGGTAAAGAGGTTTCAGAGGGTGATACAGAGCATCGAATCTCCGATTCTTCAAGTTCCGTTAAAGATTCAGATTTTGTCGGGCTATGTTCTATTTCAGGTGAAGGGTCAGGGAGAATTGTTTCTTCAGATGCGATCTTACGAAGTAAGGGCACTTTCGTGCTAGCATCCTCTCTCTGTGAGTCGATAAGTTGCGAAATATCTTCTGTAGAAGATGCTTTCGGTTTATTAGCAATGTCTTGAGTCTGCTTCTGTTCCAATTTCGTGACTCTATCTTTAAGCTCAGTATTCTCGGCAGTGAGCTTGGCAGTATCCATTTTGTTTTTCTTCTCCAACTCTTCAAACTTGGTTTTAAGCTCAATGCTTTCTTCTATGACCCGTCTTAACTTCACGTTTTCAGCCTCGACCTCAGCATATTTCTTTCTAAGCTCATCAATCTCGGTTACAAGCTTGGAATTCTGTTCTTCTAGTAAATCGATTTTAGATTGAGTGTTTGCCATTTTTTTATAGAATACGGATATATTTAATTCTTTAGTTGCGATAGATGCAAAGCATCCTACTTCATTGACATCCTCACTCCGTGAGTCATGAACGAAAATGCCAAGAAATTTATTTGAATCTGATCGTGACCATTTTCCTTATTTTTGGTCACGGTTTTTTTTGCCAAGAATAAATTCAGAGAACAAATTCTCGATCAAAATATGTATATATCATCACGAAAAATCTGAATTATTCCTATTTCGGAACACCGATCAATAAATATATACACGACAGGAGTACAAAGTATTCAGTAGTTCATTCACACGAAAAAATAATTCATATTAATATGTACCGATTCTTTATTAATAAAATATATATATGATAAAAATACAGGATAAAAAACAAATTAATCTGGACAATGTACAGGACACCCTATACATGAATTATTATTGTTGTTATTGCTATTATTGTTATTGTCATCAGCACCGCCATTGTCATTAAAATTAAAATCATCATATGGTGGTGATAGTTGTGGTGACGATGGTGGTAATGGTGGTAGGGATGGTCGTGGTGATTGCCGTGGTGATGGTCGTGGTGATGGTCGTGGTTGTGATAATGGTTTATTTTTTTTTCGATATTTTTTGGTTACACGACCACAATA